CTGTTTGCATCCCTGGCTCCATCACAAGTTCAAATCATAGCCCATCATAATCCCAGTAATTAGACACAAGTTGGTTTGTTTTCAGTATATCAAAAAATATCATCTAGTTGTCCAAAGTATTCTCAGCATTTCATTGTATATGCGTTTCTGGGTTAAAAGTCAAAGTCATTTTAGCAAGGTTCCAGTAATTTGTGTAATTTTTGTTCCAGCCCTGTTTACTGGATAAACATTAAAATAGCACAGAGCAGTGCAAAACTGACATTCACAGCCCGCTTTCAAAGACACCAGCAGCTTATCTAGAAGTTGTAGATACCTAATGCAAAATACAGATACCTAGAAAACAGCTTGCTGCTGCTAAGCTGGCTTAAGAGGCACCACCATACTTCATGCAACGAGGTCCATGCTGCCTAGCCGAACCAGTCCCCTAAAACAAATAAATATTCGTTATGTCCAGCCACAGCTGCTACACATGTGAAAACTAACACCCCAAATCTCTGACAGAGTAAATGGATCATCTCCCTTCAGATGCTAATGTGTAACATGGAGCCCTTGTATGTAACAGACCAGCAAGGAACACATTTGCTTTCTAAACCACATGGAACAGATCCTGTACTTTTCCACACGAATTAGACTGACCATATTGTGAAACATTCTTGCTTCATCATGTGCCTGAAGTTACTGAAACCCAGCAACAAGCAAGTGTTAACTCTGTGTTTATCACACAGCTCAGACTGCCCAGATCCATCCTGGATATAACATGAGAACAGTTGGAGTTGGAAAAAGGGGAGCGGTTTATACAGACAGGACTCCCTCCTTTATTACAAAAAAAACTCTTTCCATAATTTTAGCCCCCTGATCTATTTTTTCCTAATATAAACTACATCCTACACCAAAGTCAGGGAAAGCACTAGTTCACATAAAACACAGTTAACTTCCAGCCTAGAAGTTGGTGGCTTGCTATTGATTAGTGCGTTTTTTCCACCACTAGGCCTGAAGCAATGCATTGACCTCAAAGTGCTCTGACATGCTAACAAAACAAAGGAACAGCTATACTTGTGAACCAAAGTTTCTATCAATTAATATACTTGTCTTCTAGTATGCTTAAAAAGGCAGAAGATTTGAATTCCAGAAGGTTTCAGCTTCTGGAGAATTGTTTAACCATCCTATGCAATCCTTACAGACCTGCTTTCCAAAAGCTCAAGAATACTGTACACAACAATACCCAGAAAACGCATGAGGGGCAGCAGAATCAATACGTTTTCAGAGGAAAAAGGAAATGATGGCAGCCATTCCCTCTCACCGCACGCGAGGGAGCTCTGGTATAAATGAAGCGGGGAAGTACAAGAGGTACAGGTAGTCCAAGGGCTCTGCTGCCAGTCCAATGCATTCTCCTCCTTCCCACTGACAAACGTGTTTAATATTAAATGCATGTACGGAGCAGAACTAGGCCCAAGATGTATAAAGAGCAGATGCCCAGACTTCAAGGTATACAGCAGCCTCTCGGAGCACAGACAGCGTTCATTCCCCAAGTGACATGCAGATCAGGCCTTTTGGCAGGACTGTGAATAGGACATTAAAAGAGTTAGTACTAAAACTCTGCAAGAGGCTAGCAGAGGAAAATACATATGCACCTTGCACAGTATAATTAACACCACTATACTTGTGAGAGCATGCACATACAGCTGAAAATGAAGTCAAGATGTACATTTCTTTGCTGTAAGCATATACAACACCTGCCTCACCTAGTATTAGTGCCATCAGCTCAGAGAGCTGGAAGGTTGTCAGGAAAGTAACAGACTCAAGTGTGCTCCCCCTGCCTTTATGGAAGCCAGCTACTTCAAACTAAACAACACAAGTCTATAAACTTGCAGTAATAAATTTACTCGTACACAATTTTGATGGGGCAGCCTTAAGAAGTAAGTAGATCTTCTTGTACCGAGTCTAAAGGAGCGTCTGGCAACAGAGACACCCTTATTTTTCAGATACATCTAACCGACTTATAGAGGCACTAAATTTCCAAGGTAATTCTGAGAGAAGCTTCCAACACAGAGGGTGGATGATGTTTCTTTTTTCTCCCTGGTACACTAGTTACATTTCCTGATTGCAATTCTTAGGGGTCAATTTCTATTTCCTTGGTGCCACCACGTGGCAAAAATATGTATTACCATTTAACATGCAAAAGCCACTTCCAGTCCATTCTAAAGAGAGGCCACATACTCTCTAATGGCTGTACACTGGAAGGCAATGTCACTTTAATGTGTGTGTAAGCATATATGAACGCTGTGTTTCACTTTCAGATATTACAAAGCCTAATCTACACAAAATAGTCTAAAAATAATCAATGGCAGATGATCATAGGCATTTTGTAACAATTGCACCATCCTTATCTTTGAAAGGAGCATGTTATTATCCATGTGAAATACACAACCAGGGGTGTTTAAATAGCTGAAGTGATTAAGTTAAGGTTGGTTTTTTTTACTGCAACATACACTGAATATTCACATATCAAAACTAAACGTATCACCCGCAACGTAGCTAGATTAAAAAGCATGATACAGATAGTTATTTGTGGGTTTTTGTTGGGTTTGGTTTGGGTTTGTTTTTTTTTTTACTGTCCTCATAGATCCTGAGAAGGCATATATTTTTAGGAAGGCATTTGAATCGGGCCTATCATTATACAGAGAAGGACATCAGTGTCTCCTTGCCAGCTTGCAGAAGCTCCAAAGAGAAAGGACACAAGATGAGCTGGATCTAGCCAAATCTAGTGTAAGTGCCCAGCAGAGGACGAACATTCATTTCCTTTCCACCTCCACAGCCATGCAGGGTAACACAGAGAAAGGAGAAAGAGCAGCTGACTGTTAAGAACGAGCCTGTGTACATTTATGTTCCCAAGGGATAAGATGCCAGTTAAAAGGCAACTCACTCCTGTTATTCCCTTCCCTGTGCTGTACAGATGCAATGTCAGGGACTGCACAAAAAGACTTGCAGGTGCTGGCTACACATCTCTTCATCCATCAGGAACACCTCTACCCACCCACACACACAGAGGTACCACCACTATAAATGTATTAATAACTCCCACTGTACTATTTGAGTGGCATCAGGAAAACAGGGCAGAATATCACATTTTCTAAGACTCCCTGAATTTCTTCCTAGCCTGAAAAGCATGGATACCAGTGGGCAAGAGAAAAGGATTAGCAGTTGTCTGAGGTAGCTGGATGAGTAGCTAGTCAACAGCAAAGAAGCAAAAGACCTTAGAAGAAATGTTAGCAAATGTAAGTAAAAAGCTCAACCCACTCTAATTTAACGAGTTATTACACATCAGTTGAGCAAGTCACCTACAACAACTTCAAGGTAAACATATTACCGCAAGGATTACCATGGATTCAAAGCCAACATGTTTAATCAGTGCCACAAGTCAAGTACGCATGCATAGTTACCAAAGCTCAACTGATGTGCGATAGCCTGACTTGGGTTCATGCCCGAACTGCATTGCAACTGTTTAATAAAGAAAGTTTTTTGAAACTGAAACACGTTTGTCAGTTTAAAACATCATCATGGCAGCCTTGCATCACGGCAAGAAGACAGAAGTGGTTATGACGAAACAGGAGTTTTCTCAGAAGACCATAACTGAATGGCACACAGATCTATAAGGAAGTGTATTGGTAAAGAAAGAATAGCTGGGCTCTCCAACAGGATTGTCAGCACATTCAATATCAAGCATGAAAAGCATTTTGGTAACATGGGCAAGGAAAGATAAGATGCTATTGAAAAGCCACAACAAGCAGCAAAGCAGTAACCCTACTGACATCACTGGAACTTGAAAAGAAAGGGGTAGATTCACTTTTGCCAAAAAGCAAAAAGAGACTTTAAGCAAAGGCTATGCACATATCTTGACCCACACCTCCAGTTTTCATCAGTAACCTATCCATTATTTTTTGCCAGGCCGCAGTAAAGCAGCTCAGCAGGTAACTTTCATTCCTAGAACTGTTCAGAGGGTCTGGACCACTTCTGTGCATCCTACTGACATGCAGCAAAGGCTTCTGTTTGTATATGCTTTGGTACATTAGCATTTAAGTTCAGCTCTGGAGCAGCATAATGCATCTGTGCTGTATACTGTCAAACAAAGCCAAACAAATTCTAATCTTACTCATTTGACCTGTGTGGGACAGAAACACAAGACCTTGAATTCACTCCAGGAAAGAACAAATCTTCTCCTGTGCTTTACAGTTTTAAGCCGTTATTGGACAAAATGCAAATATATGAGGTTATCGCTCTAGATTCTCAAGAACTAGAGATGGAAGGGGAAAAAATTGTTCCCTGACTGACAAGGTGCAAGGAGATTCCACAGAAATTTGCATGTAGTTGCATCTGGTCAGCTAACAACAGCTTTTGCAGACATATTGACACACCAAAGTTTTTTGAAAAAAAAAAAAATCCTGTTCTCCTCCAGCAGTGCAGGCATGTAAGTTTGTATGCATCCTTTAGCTAGAAAAGGAGAACAGTTTAGTGGAAGAAGCAAGAGGCTGTGAGCCAAGAATAGTTCTAATCCTGTTGTGACTGGGAAGTTAACCTGAGTCTGCCTCTCCCCATGCGTAAAATAGGGATAATTAATCCTCACTTAACCATGTAAATTAAATAATGTTTCAACAGTGCTGCAAGTGCCACATATTAATTAATGCCTAGGTAATAAAAAGGAGAGAGGCAAAAGTGGAGCACTTCGCTACTTACCTGCAAGTCAGAGGTTGTGCCGCAATTTTAAAAGAGGAGATATTTGGCACTTGGAAGATGAGACCCTAAACTATCATTCAGTCTTAGAGAGAAAGATTTCTCTCCCTCTCTCATATGCATAGCAGCTATCAAGCACATGAAAGCCAAGCACAAGTCATTCTGCATTTCATATCACTTCTTTGCAACACAGTAAGCTGATGTTAACTAAGGAAACGCCATAAACAAATACCCATAACCAAAGGTAAGGCAAACAGTGGGAAGATCCATACCTTGAACACCTTCCAGAAGCAGATCAACCCCCTTTCTATAAAAGCTGAAGGCAGTTTCATAATCTTCTTCCTCCTCCTTCTTCAAGGCGAGTTTTATCAACTCGCCTGCTTTCTCCAAGTAATCTTGTTTGCCAGGCTTGGGTTTTAAGCTTCCAGTAAACAGACCATGGCTTTCCCTCTCTCCTTCGGGTTTGCTCCACTCCTGCTCAGGTGCCAGCGTGCTTTGTACTGGGGGTTCAGATGTAAGGCAAAGGCCAACAGCTCTACTGGGAGAACTTTGGTTGGATGCCATTCCATCATCTAATTCAGCAAGAGAGTCTACATCAACTGTCAAAGAGATCAGGTCACTGTCACTGGAGAAGCCTGAAAGCACAGTCAGAAAAACATCCATTACTCTAGATTTCTCACATACCTTCAGAACCTCCAAAATTCTTTATCTCATCCAAGAATTTTAGCTTTCTTCTCACTTATGCAGCTTCCTGAGACTTTGTGCACAGAAATTCCCTGCATGTAAAGCTTATTACCTATAGAAACATGTTTTTTAAAGTTAGCTATAAACTCTGCAGAGCAAGTAGTCTTCATTTTAATACCTGGAATGAAGAGACCAACATCTAACGCCAACTTAAACTTTCAAAGCCTGCACACCACTGGACTCCAGGAAGATTACTCTGTGTGAGTGCTATTAGAAAAGTCAATCAGCAGGAGTCAGATTACTGTTGCAAGAAATCCCAACATGCTGTTTTAAATCAGTAAGACGAAGCATCCCAAAAACAGTAAGTTAGGAGTTTGAATTAACAGTTACTGTCAGCTTATGCATCATGCAGCACTAACTCACACCCACCATGTATACTCTTCTTTCATTGCTAACACATGGTAAAATGAAGTAGCTTACAACTCTTCCACTGAAATTTGAGCTAACACATTTTATTTTACATTTCCCATAAGCTAAAAGCATACAGCTTACTACAAGCTGACCTTCAGTAACGAAACCACAGCAACTTAGCAGTGTTATCTGGAAATAAATGGCAACAAAGATATTTCACACGTACACCATTTCATTGTGTAAGGATTACTATCCACGAAAAGTGCTCACTCATAATTACAACTTTCTAATAATTTAAATTCCACAAACGTAATGGAAACAACTTCTAGATCTCACCTCCGCATTCTGACTGGCTCGTAAGTGTCACATCATCAAGCCCACTTAAATCCTTTCGAACTGAAAAGGACAAGAATGACAAAAATGTTTCTGACATCCTTTTGTACAACATATTAGATGTTCACTTGCCATCAAAATGAAAGGGCATGTCCCTACTACAGGTCTAAGTACATAATATGAAACTGCTCTTTGACCAGCTATCAGAGATATCCAATTGGTAATACACCACTAAAATTGTGACAGTGGTATTACATTTGCCATTTCTCATTGCCTCTGACGTTAAAAAACAAAACACGGGTGCTTGCTTAGGAGGGGCTAATTCGAACCTCAGCACTCCAACTCACCTAATTTCAATAGCAGCAGCACTTTAATCCCTATCTCTCACTGCTCTGATGATTTACAGCTAGGGAGATTTAAAACAGGAGAGCCTTCAAAGCTGGGACCTACACACCAAGAAGAAAAAAAAAAAAGCCAGCTTTCAGTCTCAAAAATGTCATTCCAGAATAGTACCCTGTATGAGACATATGGAGCAAGCCACAAATTTGGCAGTGCCACCTGGATATCGAGTAGCAGTTTGTTTTATCACCTTGGCACATGTACCCACTGAGGCAATAAAACAGGCAACAAGGTCAAGACATTTAGCTGTTTGAACACACAGAGAAAGTAAATTCTGAGCTAAAACCTGGTGTCTGTTTTCTTTTGTATTATCAACAGAGTCAAGAGTTTATCCACATTATCAGGTAAAGTGGTCTGACTCGCCTGCAAAAAGTATGTGGCAGTAGCAAGGAGCTGACTCAAAGGCAACTAACTCAAACTTTCTTTTCGATTTTGCAACTCTAGAGTTAGAGGAAGTTTACAATTTATCGAAGAGGAGTAAGAAGGCACTGTAGAAATACTCCTTTTCTAAAAGCTAGCAGTTCCTTTAATGTGAGTTAGAGGAAAAAGACAGGAAGGAGAACAGATTACCAGCCACTCTCTTTGTCTGAAAAGCAAGGAACAGTGATACACAAGACTACTTGAGAGAAGGGGATAGGGTGCACAGAAGACAATGCTCCTGATCTTTTCAGGGGAGGGACATAAAGCAAAGTGTCCACACAGAGAAGAAAACTGCCTGCGTAGCCACAAGTCCTGCAAGAAAGAAGGCAACCTCACAACAGAACAGTTGGAGGAAGACAGAAGATTCATTAATTAGCGCATGGGCCATTAACCTGCCCAATCTAGGGACAGCAATGTCAAATTTGGGTGCAGGAGAATTTATGAAACAACATTTAGAGGAGTCAAGTGACTTTGCTCAGTGAAGAGAAATTCCTAGCTAGGGAATGGATAGGTGGAAGCAGAGCTGACTGACAGACAAATTGTGCATATAATGAACGGAAAAGCTGGGGGGTTGTGAGAAGGGTGTGCTGGCCACCCACACTAGATGAATTAGAGCCCATCCACACAGCAGATTTCAGACAGACCCAAGTTCCTACAGTTCAAACAAAACCATGTTTGCTCTTCTCTTGCAGCCAACTTGACCAGAAGCTGTATGAACACAGCTAGCATGGCACAGAGCCTGAGCTAATAAACTTTGCTTAAGGGCAGGTTTAGAGCCCAGGTTTGGCACCACACAACCACAGTCATGGGGCTTCCAGCCCTAGGGGTAGGAAGAGTCTGAACTACATATGCTTATTTCTGGGAAGATAATGTGAACATGGTAAAACAGAAGGGGGGGGGGCGGGGAAAAATGAAAAAAAAAAAAAGATGAGCTTCCTGGTGAATTTCTCTAAAGAATTTGGTGATTGTTATAGAAAGACTTTTGGAGGGGAAGTTGGACATATGAACATTATCCCATGTACCCAGAGAGGAAAACAGAGTGACTGTTTGTCAGGAATATTAGATGAGTATAATGATGCTGAAATTGAACATAAATTCCTGTACTTCTCTCTGCTTTGTGCAACTTCACCAGGTATATGAGGAGTAAACACAGTTTCCAAAAATTGGTGGAAAGCTTGGGTAACCTGGCCTCTTGAAAAGCACGTTTCTGTGAAAGCATAAACTGCCAAACTGCTTTTACAAGCAAGAAACTTATCGCTTATTTTGGTACAAAAACATTTCTACTACCATCAATTTGCATCTTCTACCATTAATGTGCACGCCTTCTGCAGAGTGAACTTTGTCTGAAAAGAACAGATAAAAGTGAGAAAACACAACCCACCCTTATAAGCAAACACCAGCACCTGTTAAGGAATGGGTTTGATACTGCTCAGTACAACAGCTTGAAGGAGCAGTGCCCACGTGGAGGTCCTTGAATGTTCACAAAAACTAACACAGTTAACTAGTCACAGTTAACTACGATAATCAGACTGGGAAAAATTAGATGCCGGCAGGATGCCCTGAGGAGAGGCAGGGAGAGGACTCAGAGCCGAGTATTGCCACTGCCATCTACAGGCCTTAAAGACAGATGTCTCCTCCTCTCCCTAGTCTCCTCCCTGTCCAAAATTTGGTTTCAAACATAAGAAAATATGAGATGGAAGACAAAAGTTTTTTAGAAAAAATAACTCCACAAAATTCACATTCAGCATCTGGAAATCCTGCGCTCATAGTTGTTGCAAGTATCCTCTAAAAGAACTCCAGCCAATTCAGAAGAAGAATATCAAAGAATTTTTCTACTTTATAGCATTTTTTTCTTTTCAATATTTTATCTCACATAAAAGAAGTGTTTTTCTTCTTCTAAAAATGAGACCCTTGTGAATAAAGAATAGACACATTCACATTAAGCATTTTTAGAAGCACTTTTTCTTTTATAAGGCACAGTGTAAAGTAAGTGCATTGTCAGAAACTGGAATGTTAAATTTCACAGAAATAGTGCCCCTTTAAAATTAGTTACCAGTATTTAATTACAGAGGGTAGTTATGATAAACAGCTCTATACCTTTCCCTTCACAGAACAAAATATTGTGGGGGCATTAGTTCGTTAACATCATGGAAGATACTACAAAATAAAATGCAAAATTCACTGCCCATGTAGAATGTATTATATAACTAAGCACAAAGTTATTGACATAGAGAGATCCCAGTGGCAAGTCACACAACCTCAAGCAAAAAACAGATAAACAAACCAACCAACCACTGTTAGAAAACACAAGCAGTTCTTGTTATTCAAGCAGAGTTTTACCAAAGCAAGTTCTACACCAGAAAGACCAGAGTGAATTAAGTGGTTAAGGAAAAAAACCCTCCCAAATAAGCTTAATAAGTGTTTGTATAATAATGTGTATTTATACATGCGCGTAAAACAGTTCCAAAGGAAAATGTGAAGAGTTGGAAAAGAATTTCTTAGAAGTCACAAGGACCCAAGCATAACTCAGAAATACATAAATATCTAAAAGATTGCATGGTACTTGGCAGATGATTAGACATAGAGATGCTTAAGCTAGCTCAGCCTCCAGAGGCAAGCAAGAAGCCCTAGCACAGTATTTATTTGGGCTGACTGACCCTACCTTACAGCTATACTATTATTTACTGCAAGTGAAGTGCCACTAAAATTACTCTACACATGGTATCCAAGCCAGCACGTACATCTTTGCATTTCCTTAGCACAGTGTAATCATAGGAAAAGGGACACACTCTCCATTGGCATAGCACAACCAGAAAACACTAGCAAGTTAAGGAAGGGATTTCCAGTTTTCAATTAAACATAGCCCACACTGGCTCTAACACACAACCTCTCAGACTTTCAAGAATAGGGAGTTCTTTTCAGGAAACAGAAAACTGCCAGCATTTTTTATTAAGAGACTTAAACAACTTGCTTAACTCCCAGAGCCCTGCAGTAGGCTTTAATATTCGCCACTCCCATATGCTCAATCCAGAAGACATAGTTAAACTTTTAAAATACAATACCAACTCTCTTCTGGATTTTACTAAGCACTGCAAGCATGGTGACACCCAGAGCGTGAACAGCTGAATGAGAACCCTCTGAAAAATCTTAGACCTATTTTTCATGCTTTAGGCAAATTCAGACAGTTGTCTTTGTACTTATTGATCAACCTCAAAATTACTTTAAAGTTCTCTGCAAATTTTTATAGCTTGAGACTTGGGTCATGATTAGTAGTGAACACCACCACACTGTTTGCCTAACCTTTTGGAAGCAGGCAGGATTATGTACAATTAAACCAGAGGGTTCAGTTCAGTTAGCACCAAAAGCAGTTCTTTTTGAGCAATAAAGCAGTAGGACTTCTAGAATGGACTAGACAAACTCCCAGAAAACTTCCTGTTAGAAGCAAACTTCCAGCAGTGCAGACAGAGCTCTGCTGAGCCCAACTTCTCTTTTGTTAATCCCAATTCTGGCGTTTCTGTTACACCAAGCAAACAGAAACTGGATGCCAATGCTCCTACAAATACAGCACTTGTCACTTATGTGTGCTTTAAAACAGATCTATAGGCTATAAGGTTACATGAGAAAAGAAAGCAAACCTTCAGAGCTGCAGTCAGACAGGTTGTCAGTCAGAGAGTCGGACAGAGGCTCAACAGGACCAATCAGTTCAGACCCATCATGTACTTCTCCACCCTGAAAAGAAAAAGGAATTAGTTAGGTACTGTGCTCTATGGAAAGTCTCATTATGTAGCAGTCAAAATTAAACTTCCTAACCAGTGAATGCTTCATTACTTTATAGTTAATGCATTTAATTAAACTATATAAGCCTGCAAAATTAAACAAGGGCTTTTGGTTAGGCCATGTTTGGTTGCCACAGACTGTCTAGGTATCTAAACAGTTAGCCTACTGCAGCTTCTGTGGTGAGTCCTGAACCATACAGGCTGCAGCTGGTCTGCCCACAAACCGCAGAGTTTAACAGGGAGAGAACAGTGATGCTCGTGCTCTCTTGTGGTACAGATAGCCTGTGCCCTTCAACGGTGTTCCCAAGCTCAGCAGGTCCCTCATGCAGGAGTGTTTGTCCATCAGACCAATGTCCAACCCATGATGCACTATCTGGAGCTCAGTTGTAGTCGAGACTGGACAAACAGGGAAAATAAGGCCATCCCAGCATATAAGGATGACATTATTCCCTCCCAAGCCTGGAAGGAATCAAAGGTAAATGAAGTAACAACAGGAACAATTAATTGCACTAGAAAGCAGATAAATGTTTTTTTAAAATTTCTGCTTCACATTTTAGGTGCACACTTTCCATGCAACTTTAATAGAAACTGCACCATTTCCAAGGCAGTGTTACAAACAGGCATTGCTAATCTGTCTTGAACTAGCCCAGAGCATTTTCACACTAGCCAGCCCATTCTTCTGGAGTCTGTAGTACCTAGATACACACTGCACTCCCTTCGGTTGTTTCTAAGATTTCATTGCCCAAGTCTATCCCTCCATGGCTATTTGCACAAAAATCTGAAAAGGAACAAAACCACCCCTGAGCAGAACTAAAGGATGCTGGCTGAGCTGGTAACTGATCAAAACCTAAGGCTTTCTTACAGGAAAACATGACACAACATCAACTAACAAACGAGCCTAAATTATTACACTTGCATAACCTCCCTTGTAGACATACTTGCTCCTATAAAAATCAATACCTTTCTAGTTCTATTCATTGCCTTACAAAGCCAGAAAAGGTCCACTGGAAGCCTAAAACTCATACTTTTGTTAAGCAAAGGAGGGGAAAAGAGCTCTGAACAAATACCCCAAAACATAGAAGTATTTCCAAAGAACTAAAAAAGTGCAAATGCAAATAAACTGAAAAGTAAAATATTTTAACTCAGTCTCCCACTCATTGTTGCCACCAAGCTTAAAGAAAATTATTTCAAGTATTTTAAAGGGCTCTGCATCATGAAAACAAGTGAAGATTTTTAAGTTTCGCTGTAATTTTCCTTTTCCATACGTAACATTTAAATATACTTAACATGTCAATACACTTAAGGCCCATCTCAGCCAGATGAGCATTTCCTTAATTCCAGGGAGTTACTATCATGTTTACATGTAAATTTATGCTTATGTGTTTGCAGAATGTTGGGCTAAGCTACTGAAAATAAAGAGGCTTGATGGAACTATTGAAAACAAACTGCTTCAGTTGTAATAAAGAGGAAGTTCAGATCAATGTACTGTCCTAAACTGTATTTTGGAGAGTGGTTCACACAACACTGGTCAAGCAGCACATTTGACTAGTTATACGCCAAATTTGTTGTCACGGACCTGAATTCATAACAGGCCATAAGAAAATAGTCTAGACAGTCTTCCTTCTTTGGTTTGAAACTATAAACACCTACACAAAATATAGAAACAATGACAATATTAGTTCCCCACTTAACACCTGGATTTAACATCACTGGTTTTCCTCATCATTCAATAAACAGAAATTCCAAATCCCTTCACCTGAAGTTCCTGTAAAACTTTCCACCTTGTAGAGGTGCGGCACTGGGTTTTTTTTTAAAGCCACATTTCTGGAGTGAATGGAAAACTCCCAGTCACTTCACAAAGCATGCCAGATCAGCTCACTGTCATTCCATGGTTTATAAAGTAAAGCAAAATCAGCACTATATTTTATTCATATCAGTAAGAAGCAAACACTTCTGCAAATACTAACAAACCTTAAAAAACTCTTCAAGCTGTTTGCTGTTATACAGAGCAGGGATATTAGCAGAAAACTGCAACAGATCTTCAGCACATTGCCTTCTTTCTTCAATCACAGTTTCATCAAATCGCCCTGGAACACACACAGATTGACAGTTTCAGAAATAACTACACATTTATTCTGCAATAATAACCACCAAGAAAAAAAAAACAAGACAAAAGCAACCTTCTGGAGACAATGCCCTGAGTCTATGAAAGTCATTCCAGTGCTTCAGGAGAACATAGCAAATCTTCAAGCTTCCTATTCTCAATTGTCCCTAGAGTCCCGTCTTCTGCAATCCACTCGGATGATGAAAGCTGGCAGCTACAACAAGAATCCTTCACCTTCTCCTCGTAAGAATATGTGAGGCAACATTCTTGATTAGTCAAGAGACACTAACGGATGTCCAGTGTTATCTAACAATAAATGATACATGCACAATTTGACAATATGCCAGTCAGTGTCAGCCTTGATTACGGCCCAAATCCTGTAAGGAGCTGAGCGTTCTTCACATATTCTCAAGAACAACGCACAATATGAGCGGATGGTAAATGAGTATTGCTAAAAGCCTCCAAACAGATCATCAGTTCCAAGGTGCCATTTATGGAGGAGACAGAGTGTAGGGGAAATGGTGAAGCCCTGCTACCAGGCACCGAAGCTTTCCTCTGAAGTAGCTTCATGCAGACAGGGTCTCATCTCCTCCTGGATTCAAGAGGTAAGCAGAGCTGGGAAGCAGCTCATTTATCAAAACATATGATCCTTCCCTTTTCCCTACCCAGCACCCAAGACATTCCAATTAGAAAAAACATATTTAAAAAACAATCCCACAGTTCACCCGAGAGATTTGCTTCTCAGAAGAAAGAATCCTTGGATTGCTACCTTAAATTCACATTCTTCACAATTGCAGACAACTTATTTTAGCTTTTCATATCAACATCACTTTGTTGTTCAGATAGTTACAAGTTTACAAAAGGAAAAGGGCAGAGGTTAACAGTAATAATTGGAGGAGAATAGAACAGATATTGGAACAGCTATACAGAGGGGAAAAAAGGACTGGCAAGACAAGTTCAAGAAACAGTATTGCTGTAACAGCATGACCAGAAAAATAAGAACCACCTGTGACAGCTCTGTGGCATTAACCTTTGAAGAGGACAAAAGAAACATTGAATACAGAAGCAAAATTCATTTATACTCAGAGCAAGCAGTAAAATAATCCCAGAAGAAAGTATCAAAGCAAAATTCTTTCCAGAAATTCTTCAAGTAAATAGCTCCTGCCCATGTGGTACCAGAAGAAAGAAAATAAAACTAGAAAGACACACACATACTCACAAGATCACAAACAAAGCTTTTGGGGGTTATTTTTCCATGAAAGGAAAGGAAAGACATCTTTGGGCTAATTTTCAGCTGGATCGGTTCCACGACTTGTTCACCCTACCCTTTCAGCTGTACAAACATTAGCAGCCATACAAAAGAGCAAGCAACAAGCAAGCAGAAAGAAGGCAAAGGCAATGCTACCACGTTGAGTGGCAACACTGAAATCAGGCTCTATTAAACTGCTCAAACTTCCTATGTCTTCAGAGCAACACTGGGGGTGCATTAGGGCTTTTGCTTCATTCCACACAAAATAGGACATCATGAAAAAACAACTTCCCTCAGCAAAGCGCAGCAGCATGGGTGAGTTAAATGCATCTACAAAATAATATGAAAACTGTTATAATGAAACAGAAAATCAATTGCAAAGAAATAAACACCGAACGAGGCCAGAAACAGGTAACTTTTGCAAGTAATTCTATAAGATGTTTTTCCTGGTTTCCCGGGGATCTTTCTCTCCCCAATCTACTCTGTCATCAAACCAAACAAAAACTAATTTTCCTTATCTACATCTTCTCAATACTTCCACTGGGCACCAGGGAGGACGTGTCAGGACCAGCACTGCCAGGCTGACCAGTGCACGTTCACCAATCGTCCTGCAAACTCACGGGTATGAGCTGAGCCTGCCTGGCCCTTAGTAGCACCACAGCACGCACGCTCTTCTTACTCAGCTGCCATTTCACAGACTTTGCAGAAATACAATTACATTTGCAACCGCTTTCCCTCTCAAATTTAGCTGATATTAGCCACATGAGTACGAGGTTTGACTTTCTAACAGCACAATTACATAAGCCTTATTTTCTTAGGAAGCTGAGCTTAAAAAAAAAAAAACAAACCACAACATGTTTGAACAGCGCCATTGAAACATTAGTCACTGTCACATTTTCCAGCTCATCAGCATCATGATACACTATCAGGTCAACCACTTACAGAACTAGAGGATTTGGGGGAAGGAAGAACAAAATTCAGTACTGGTTTGTTCACAAACTATCTGGCATCTTGCTGGCATCGTTCCCAGCCAACACTGCCTAACTCCTTCCCCCTCTCCCTTTTTTCATACTTTAAAGCAATCTTCTATTGCTCAACACTTTCATTATCACCCTTCTCATCAGATGTTCAAAGGTGCTTAGATACCCAGCTGACTCTTCAAACATTGCTATCAGGAAGTCTTCCTGCATCTAAATCAATGTTCTTTCCACTATTCTTTACATCTGTCAGACACATGGAAACTTCATTGTAGGTATCATGTCTTTACAGGGTTGTAGGAAGTGTCAACTACAATCTTAGCATATAACAAATGCATTAGCACAGTTCTGCTATTCCTCTAGCAATGATCCGTTCAAAATTTCTTACATACACAGAAACCAAATATAAATTCCTATAAAGAGAATCCACAGTTCATCTTCTGGAGCAGATCTGAACAACAAAACACCTAGCAAGGTTTGTGTTCATGCTTCAGTTAGTTTCTCACAAGACTTCCAACTGTACATGACACCTAACTCTTAAATATGCTACTTCATTTGGTATTTTCAAATCCAAAAAGTATCCTTATATGAGCTTTATAATGTGAATCATCTTTCTGACTCACTGCTAGCAAGTTATCAACATCTGGGGTTTTTTGGTTTATTTTTGTCAGGAGGGAGAGTATTTTTTACACTAAAGTACATTTCTGCAGTTGTTAGATACAAGAAATGCTGAGTACAGATCTACTAGTATTTTGGTAAAATGCCATGTATAGCCAACATATGGGAATACTTAAAGTGTCCAACAAAAAAAGTAGTTTGAAAATACTGAAGAAATTATATTCATGAATATTAGGGAAGGAGAGTAATCACTTCCCAGAAATAGGTATCATAATTGCTGCATAACAATTCAGAGAAGCTTTAACAGCTGGATCTGTTAGGACATTTTAGATTCCCATGCTCGAGGTCATTATGTTTTCTCCATAAGATGGATGGAAAAGGTTCAAGTGAAATGCAGAAAGAGTGAAATGATTTCTTTTTCCCACTCATAACAAGTTTCATGCTTTTATGTGAGCAGCTCTATTTAACAGATAAAAATACATGCATTTGCACATTATAATTATCAAAAGCTGTGGTGTAAAACATGCTGTTCAGTTCTGCAGATGTGGCAAGTCTTTGGCTGCATGAAATATGGAAGCACAGCATGACCCATTCGTTTTTAAATACATCTCAGTTCTCCACACCATCTCCTGGAACTCTGAATGCTGAACTTGACATTCTGCTCAGGTTTCATTCTGCAAGTTCGACTAGCAGAACCACCAGTGCTTATTTTGTAAAGCGTACTCTCCAAAAAACAATATGTATATATTACTTAAAGCACACATGTCCAAAAAAAAAAAAACAACCAAACAAACCGCAACAAGTTGCCAGCAACTACTGGCAATGCTAATTAGTAACTAGTTTAAAAGCTGCAACAAGTGGAGCATCAGCACAGGCAAGAAACACTGCAGAAGTGCTCCATTAAAGCAGCTTGAAAAAAAAGATCTTAACAGGGATGGACCTTGCAGGTCACCATTAACTGAACGAGACTGAAAACAAGTTTGTGAAAAACTCAAAATCTACTAAGATTACATTTTTCCTTTACTACAAAAAATACTACGACTGATCTGAAGATAAATGCTTTAAATTAAAATAAAACACACAGCAGCTATTACGTGTAGAAGCGAGATGGAAGGATACACAATTAAATGTTGTGCTTTAAATAGAAAAATAATTCTTAAATTGAAGAGAAGAGTCAGACATTTCTGTTCCTTTCAGCTATGTACCAATCATTTAAAATTTGTTTTTACATTACCTCCTCTTTCCCGTATTCTTCTGCGGCTCAGGTTCATTCAAATGTAGTGGGTTTTGTTTTGGTTTAGTTTTAATTTCAAAAAGCTTTTTGTAAATAACTACATTGAATATTTCTGTAGATTTCCTTCTCTTACGATGTACATTGCAGTCACTTTTGTTCATCAAATACAATAGAAGAAGGATGTCTTTCAGAAGGGATTTCACTCAATTCTGCCCTTGCTTACAGAACTAGTGTAAAAACAGCTAATTTGCATTTCTGGCAATTTAAAATTACTTAAGATATTAGAAGCCCGTACTCTCTTCCACCCTGATTTTCTTTTCTTTTTACCCCTCTCTTTCTTCCCCTATGAATAGCTACCGTATCTTCCACCTGAAATTAAGTTATACTTTGTAAATATTAGCTTTGTAAATAACTTGTCCAGTGAGCACTCTACTCTGTAAATCAGATGTAAAATCATCTCAGGATGAAACTAGTACTACATTCTCTGTTTAACCATTAGTGCACAAGTTCTGACATAGCACCAAAACTTACCCCACTTCCAACTTCATAAATAAGCAAAAATAAAATTACTTAAAAGTTGGATACAATTTAGCAGATGTGAAAGACAATTTAAACCGGGAATTCTACCAGCTCTGCGAAGAGAACCATGAAATCTACATCAGAGTTCAACTTCCTTGTGTTACACTTAGCTGGTCCACACAACAAGGGCTTAAGTCAGAGGCTACCCCAAAGCTGTAGGGGCAGATTGGATCTTGGGTTATAAGCTAACTTCAACTTGTTCAAAGTTGTTATGTTAAAGCATCTCAGTAACATGCCTACATGCAGCAGTCATCAAAAATGAACACCAAGTAGCAAAAATTCCAAGTCTGTGGCAGTATTTGGTCCTGAAATATTAAAAGGAAAATTTGTGCTTTCCAGGCTCAGGTTTTGCCTCCAGAGGAGTTCCATACAGTTTCTCTGGCACTCAAGTCAAAGGAGGGCCAGCAAATACTGCTACAGAACGATAACCCTGGGCAGTATTATAGTGCTGCCACATAAAGTGGTGGAAAAAAGGCTGACTAAACAACCTCAGTTTTGGCACCTTCCAAACTGACTGGCTTGACTATCCCAAAGTGATAGTAAACGCCAAAAAAAACACACCAAAAAGCATAATACACCAAAAAAAGTAGAATATAAATAAAAAAAACCACCCCACACAAAACACACCCCAAACATAACAAAAAAAAAAACCATCACCACACAACTAAAAAACTAAAAATGCAGAAAAACCATGAAAAAATGCTAGGGCACACAAAAGTGCACAAAAGCTTATGCTAAAAGCATGCAAAAATGCTAAAAATGTTTTTGCACATTATTCCACGTGAAACATGTGGTAGATGCATGCCAAAAATCACCAAAAGCATACTGGATGCTCAAACACACTAAAATCGTGACAGGGAAAAAACACGCAAAAACATGCAATAGATGCATGCCAAAAAATGCGAAACATGCTGGATGCTAAAACGTGCTAATGTGCGACAGAGGAAAAATGTGGAAAAATATGCACTAGATGCATGCCCAACGCCACTAGAACAGCTAAAAATGCTACACACAAAAATGCTACACCTGCAAAAACAGGCACTAGATGCATGCCAAAACACACCAAACACTGGCTGGATGCTAAATGTGCACAACACATGGAAAAACATGCAAAAACATGCATGATAATAAACATGGAAAACAGGCACAACACATGGAAAACATGTGTAAATACACACAAAAGCATGCGCTACATGCATGCCAAAAACACCAAACATGTTTTAGCGTTTTTAGTGTTCAGTAAGAAATATGGAAAAAACACAAAAAAGCACGTGGTAGCAGGATGCAAAAAAAAAAAGTCAAACCGATGCTGGATGCTAAAAACACTTAAAAGCACACCATAGATGCACACCAAAAAATGCCATAAGTGTGCTTTATGTTTAAAAACCCACCAAAACATCTTAGAAACACTGTGGCAATGGAAAACAACAATGCAGCAATGCCTCAGAAACCAAAAAACAAACATGCCAAGAAAAGGTGCAGAAGCCACACCAAAAACCTTGGGAAAAAAAAGAGTGCATGGGAGATGTACGCCAAAAAACACCAAACATGGTGGACGCTCAAAACACCGCCACAGCAATGTCAAACACGCTGTGGCAACACTTTAGGAACCAAAACCCACACCAAAAAAACATGCAAAATCCACACCAGAAACCTTGCCAAAAAAAGAGCATATGGTAGATGCATTCCAAAAAATGTGAAACAGGCTGGACGCTAAAGACCACGGCAAGGTGCATATAAAAACCCTAAACACAGGCTGGATGCTGGGGGGGCAGGGAAGAGAGAAACAACCACCACACTAAGACAACTTGTAAAAGCCATGGAAAGGCCTTAATAACCCCAGAAACGCCTTAGAAACTGAAAAGCCTACCAAAAACCACATCAAAAAAGAGCACTTGGTAGATGCACACCAAAATGCACTAAACACATTTTGGACTGTCAGCAATGTCTTAGAAACACTCAAAAAATAAGTGGTAGATGGATGCCAAAAAAGGCCAAACATGCTGGACACTTAAAAACCCACAGAAAATTGCATGGTATATGCACACCAAAAAAAAACACCAAAGAAATCCTGGACAGAAAAAACGCCGCGGCCACGCCTTAGGAATCAGAAAACACATCAAAAAATGCCCAAAATCCACATCAGAAACCTTGCCAAAAAAAAAAAGATCACATGGGAGATGCATGCTAAAAAATGTCAACCACCACACTAGATGCATACCAGAAAAAAGCATAAACAAAGGTTGGATGCTTTAAAAAAATAATACACTACAACAACTCGTGAATGCCATGGAAATGCCTTAGTAACCCCATAAGCACTTCAGAAACAAAGAAGCCCACACAAAACCAAACCAAAAAAAAGAGCACATGGTAGATGCATGCAAAGAAATGTCAAATACTTGTTGGACAAATATTAAAATGCTTGGAAAAAAGGCTCGAAAGCACGTGGTAGATGCACACCAAAAAAGCATGAAACCCATTCCAGATAGTTAGCAACACCCTAGAAACACTCACAAAGCACATGGTAAATACACGCGGAAAAGACGCCAAACACACTGGACACGTTAAAAAATGCTGAAAAATGCTTAAAAACCCACTGGATATTGTGTGGTATATGCACGCCAAAAAACCAACAACACTGAGTGCTGAACACAGGAACACACACTAAAAAAAAAACACCACATGGCTAAAATAAACACAACACACTGCTGAAAAAAAAAGTGTGGTAGGAGTTCTATATGGAGTCATACGACTTCACTGAAAGTCCACCTATAGCTCAGTCATGATGACATATACATCAGGATTAAGTTAAGACCTTTGGCCTTTAAGAGCTAAATACTTTTTGCCACGTATTTCTTATGTAGACTCACAATCCTCTTACAGGTTGGTGTTTTGGTGAAACAGTTAACTGCTATATCTAAAACTGATCTCAAAAGCCTAGCTAGATAAAGTTGATAACTACAATCAAATTCCTAAAATACAAAATTTTTTTCTGCAACAACTGCTGATATTTTACTATAACTCATCACTAAAAATCACAGACAGCTCATATATGAAGATCTTTGTTCATTGTTCAAGTGCTGTTCACAAAGCTAATATAGACTTTATGCTCCTGAAAAAGGGAATGTACATTGTAAAGATACAGAACATATACATCAATAAATATTTGAGATAGTATCTCTAACATGGAAGCAAGGACATAACTGCCCCTGTTAAAAAAAAAAAGTATCAAGCTATGATACCAGCAAACCTACAAGTAAGACACAACAAACCAAAAAGTTGAGCAGTAAAAGCAAATTGAAGAGAGTTCCATGCAGCTGCAAAACAAGATGTATTTATAGATGTTGAGTTATCAAAGAATTTCAGCAAGTCAGGAAGAAATTATGCTTACCAAATACTATTGCTTTGGCAAAAGGTGGAAAGAGTTCTGTATGTCTGCATAGGTTTTTATGAATTTGCCAGAGATCTTTGTGCAGTTTCTTAAAGTCACTGTATCTCTTCCAAACGACTATCTGAAGCAGAGAAAGGGAAGGAGAGAAGTATTAGTGGGGTTCATTGTTCGCATTGCATCACACCACAAATACATTTTTTTCAAGCAAATCAGACCACTACCTTCAGCAAATATGTTTAACAAAAATATACAATCTGAACTTCCAACTATAACAACCATTAAAAAAATGTTCATTATCTGTCCTCAATCCCCATTTTGACTAACAAGACTACAGTGCATAGAAAAAAAAATTAAGTAAAAGCTGAAAGAAGGAAACAGAGAGGGCAAAGGCAGCACTGTTTTTCAGTCACACTGCAATCCAGAGCTACACAGGGAACCAGTGAGAGAGGAAAAAATGCCTAATAGTAGTGTTGCACTATCCAACACTCAATAGCATGCTGTGCTTGGCGCAGCTGCAGGTATGGGGAAAAGACACAACAGCAAAAGAGAAAATGAGGGAAGAGAAATCAATACAAGTACGGGATTCTTAAGGACAGCACATTAAGCACCCAGGACTACAAGCCAGCTCATAATTTATGTAAATGCTGATCAGGTGTAAATGCAAGCTCACATGTTAAATGGTTTATTACTAATAACCCGGATCAAAAATTGCATATGTTCCTTTTGCAATCTAGGCAAAATCTCCAACTTCAGGAATGCAAAGAGAGCATTGGTTCATTACACCAGCCTTTCCTGATCCACCCTTTCCAGAAAGAAGTAATCATTTCCCAGCCAGGTTCCTCCCAGCCAGGTATCTACCTTACCCTTCTTCCATCCCATTCTTTGTATTCTTTCCATTCAAGGAAGGAGGGGAACCCAATAGGAAAATCAGGCCAGGGAAAGAACTGAGCAACGAAATTACACTTGACTGCTAACAGGTTTGCTATCAGGATGAAAAAAAAGAACAAAGACATTTTATATCTTGGCCTCATTTTTGGTCAGACTCACTAAGCCATATAATAAACCTCAACGCTAATGTAAAGTGATTGAAGTAGAACAGGAGAAAAAAAAAAAGAGGAGACCAACTCATTCAGCAGTTGATTCCAGTGTTCCATCAGTCAAATGTCTCAATTAGCTTAATACAACTAACCACAATTTAAAAGATTCCAAATATTTCTGACTGTTTTAACAGGTTGCCTTCTCAACCATATAAGCCACCATAATTGAAAAACTACTTCTTTCAAGCAAACCAGATTTAGAGCTAAGTAAAAGGTTTAATTTTAGAGGGTTTTTTTGTTTGTTTGTTTTAAATACTAAGGTCAGAGGCCTTCCAAGTTTCAGCAGATGCAAGTCCTACCTACAGAACAATGCAGATATAAGGCAACAGGACCATTAACCGTGGATATGCAAAGCTTTAATACGGCACCACTCTATCCACCTTATAAACTTAGCTACAATGAAACTAGCAGTTCTGATTCAGCCCCACCTATTGCGCACACATTTCCAGGACTCAACTACAAATAGTACTTGGTGGAGTTCAACAGACAAGAGAAGAAAAATCAGAATCTCTCAAGAAGACCAACTAGTGATTTTGCTATAAGAAACAATAATTTTTCAATGATGCACTTCATCCCATATCCAGAAAGTGGATGATTCGCACTTCTTGAGCAGCATATAGAACATAAAATTGCTTAAGATGGTGAAGTCTTGAAACATCAAGTTACTGTATTGTCAGTACTTGGAGACAATGTGAAAAGCTGCCAGAAAATAAGAGCACGAGATTCCGTGCCACTAAAAAAGTATCATTTTTTACTGCTGCAAGTGATCTCCCAATAGCCAAGAGAAAAAAAAAAATATCCGTAAGTAGCTTGCAAAGCAAAAGCATTCAAGGTCATCCTAAAACCTTTCACAAGCTCATGGAAATCATACCTTTGCATGCATGCGGCTCAGCAAAGTTAGCAAAGTTCCCACTCTAACATACTCATTAGAAATCAGATTTGGAGGAAGGGCACATTGTACTTTGAGGCCCAATGAAGCACAGCAAGTATATCATAAAACATATGTTAGACTTGTAATGCAATAAGGTGCTTGTCATGGCTAGAGCCAGTAGATCTCTATTAACTCATCTGTTCCACAATGAACAACCCCTTCTCCTCCTGAATAAGTAAGAGAATAAAACCTACCCTACTACAAGACTACCCTAGCTACAATTGCCTCACACACCATGCTGCCACCATCAGTCCCCAGAAGCAAGGAAATTAAAGTTAAGTCCACTAGCCTTTCTGTATCTATTAACTCCTCCACACACAAGTTCATGTTAACTTCTTTCATCCTTTCAAAAAGAAAGCCCTTACAAGGTTATCTTCCTTCCTGTCCCAGCAACAACAGCTGGGGTTATCTTGAATTTTAATTGGTTGCAGTGGGAGAGATGCTGTACTAAAGGCTTGTACCCCAAAGGGCAGCTAAAAGAGGTGACAGAAAACTGGCAAGCAGAGTTGAGGTCACAGCACACAGCCTTATGTACAGTTGTACATATGTAATGTATGTACTAACATCACAGCAGTGACATTAAAAGAGACTTCTGAATGAGCAGGCAGGCACAGCTAAGTGGTCCTATATGGGTGCAGGAAGGGGGTTGCACGAAACAGATCGTAAAGCAACAGGGTGGTTGTGTGCACAAAATTTTGTCTATTGAATTTCTAATTGAACATTCTGGAAAACCGAGGTAAATTTATTTTAGTGGGAACAGGTTAGGAGCATATTCTTTTTCTTTCAAAGGCTGTCCATAATTCTTTTATCATCACAGGAAGCCAGTATAACAGAAAAGTTCCCAACATATGTGGTTTTCTGACTACAGTTCACCCTTATGGCAACCACCATCTAGGATATTCCTTTTAATAACTAGGTACTTTCAGATGCTTGCTTATAACAGAATCACACCTAACATGCTATCACATGCAAAATAATTAATTTGGTACAATGAAGGGTGGAAAAGGGCAATCATCAACAAGTTCATAGCACATTTATGTCGTCTTCTTGTCTAGAGTATGTGGAGCTCTGCAAGGCTAACCTACAGCCACAAATCAAAGCAACGACCAAAGCAGTGACTAAAAGATATGGTTTTGCTATTGTTTCAAAACTACTTAACATATATTCATGCAATATTCTAGCTGAAAGACACTTACAATACATTTTTCTGATGAATGGCTCATCAACAGCTGCTATAAAGTGTTTTTCCCACAAATGAAGATTAAGGTAATGGCAGAATGTGCTCATGGATAGGTTCAATTCAGGAGTCTCCCTGGAAAAGGTGAACATCAAGCTACAAACTACAGTAATGCAGTTCTAAAACTAGATCCCTGATCATCTCTGATTCTGATAGTCTATTTTAATCTTCTAGAGATTAAAAAAATGCAAAAAGCATGAATGCTCATGTTTGATTCTCAAGATTTCAAAGAGGGATGCAACAAAGGGGTGTTAGGTGTATTAGCCAATTCTCACCTCTGCCAAGCCACTAATCAGTAACTCATGTTTGACCACACAGAGATGCAATGAATTCATTTATGGGCTCTTCTTTCATCAACTATCCAGGTTCTCCTCAACTGTAGTAAGAGACTGCACCAGAAATTGAACATATGCATATGTTACACAATGTCTGAAAAGCCATAAGATTGTGCTTTTGAAGGAAGATTTTGCATGTACATAGTATAACAGCATCAATGTCAAGTCATTAGTCCAGAAGAAATCTAGAGAGGAAAAAAGTTTTTTAATCTTAAAAAAAAAAAACACCAAACCCAAAACCCACACGAACGTGAGTATTTTTTTCTCTCAATAACATGGTTCCTGACAGTCTTTTGAGGTATTTAAGAGGCACAAGAATACAGCAGACCCTTATTCAGAGCCTTTTCAGAAGAGGCAGAGAGTAAAAAATTTTAAAGTTCTATCAAAGTATATCACTGGAAAATACTTAAGGAGCCTCAGAGAGATAGGCATAATATATGACTTGCCTTCTAATCTCTCTCAACTACTCCCATACTCCTCCATTTTCCCTTTTCACTAATAGACAATAATGATGTAGGCTTTTCAGTGAAGTATTGGTTAAAGAGGAAAAGAGTACCTACAGCTGAGACCTAAGACTTGGATTGTGGACTGATCTCTAATTTTACCAGTAGGAGTTAAGTAACCATCAATTTGCCAATTCCAGCCCTGAGAAAAGAGCTTGCAAAGTTATCAAAGCAGTTTTGTCATCAAAAGACACTTTACTCCCTAAGACTTTGTTTCAAGTCACGATTCATCACTGAGAGATGAATTGCAACATGTTACGCTAGCTACTGTTTTCAACTATGAAAGTCAAAGACAAATGGAAACATACAAAGAACTGTTTGCTCAATTACAATGACAAAACACACAGAAATTGCTAAATTACATCAAAAATGCTTCAAAAGGCATAGTGTCATACACAAAGACATTTGCACAAGTTTAAACTGTTACCTCCTGGACATCCTCTGGATTTTTTCTTGAAACAATCTGAAAAGCAAAACAAAAAACCATGTAAGCGCTTGGATTTTCAGTTTGGAAGTTAAAGAGTAATATACAATGATTTGTTGCTGAAGAGAAAAGTCTGGAAAAAGGCAAACGGTTGCATGTTCCTCTGCACTCAGAAACGTTTTCATTTAGTTTTAGAGAAGTCTAATATCCAAATACAGTACGGTGAGGTATTTTAGCAGCAAAGTCAGTCGCTGTGATTAGAAATAAAGACATACGTTCTAGGCAAAATGGCACAGAAGGCATCTCACAAAACAAAGCTACGTAGAGCACAACCCCCATCATCTTTCCAGTCTCTTCCTATTAATTCATATTACTCCCAATAAGCGGAGCTAATTAAGGCTACTTGGCTTAACATAAGCTGCACACAACCTCACTGTGAATGTGAAGCTTTGCATTTACAAAGACAGTATTTCCACTTTACTCACAGCCATCAATGCACACACACATCTGACTCTATCCTTGTGTATTTGTTTCCCCTTAAACACTCTTTGCCTAATTAATTATAAATGACTTTGTCCAGAGCAAAACTGCAGTGAAAACGAGGCTTGGCTACACACCATAAAGAAGCCTGTATTTTGTCAGGATTTTTTTCTTTAAATAAATATTGATCGCAAAAGCCTTTGTAATCCAAGTTCTGTATTGGGCTTACAAACAGCAGTAAGAGCATATCCACACAAACAAATAAATCAAATAAAGACATCTTTAATTCATAACTGCAATTATCTTGTCCAAGTCAGTATATCCTTCATTATAACTCAGCCAAAGCTGTTTAACAAAATAATTAGCCTATTGTTAGCTAAAGCAAAATAGGGCATTCTCAATCCAAACTAAGACTATCCACGCACTGACACACCCCAGAATAATGAATGCTGTGAACAGGTGATGCATATAGGCAAGCACAAGGAGTCCACGCTACTTCCACCCCAGAGACTAACACGCCATCCCGCTGTACCGCAAGCGCCACGCAGCTGCTGCTTTAAGATGGAAGTCACTGAATCTACACTTTCCTCTTGCTCAGTGACAGTAACAAACCACTCATATTCCCCACAAACTAGCTGTCTTCCTCCCTTTCATTTTTCAAAAATCCTTGCCAAAGCCTCCCAGATTTCATAAAATCAGTTTACTACACAGACCAGCCACTGTAATCTTTCACACATTTTGGAGGAGACAAGACAGAGAAGTGTTATCTTCTCTAGCAATCCCCCAAAAGACCTAAAACATTTTCCTTCACAAGTCTAAGTTCTTTCTCTCACCTTACACATCAAAGTCCTCTTCTTCCAGTGTAGTCTACATTGATAAAACCTTCCTCAACTTTTCCTCACTCTTGAGTAATCTAACGTTTGGCAACTTTACCATATTTTAACCTTGGTGGCTGTTGCTCCTTCATTCACTACCAGACAGTTCATATGTACAATTTGTGAAATATTTCTAACCTTCTTTTCTAATAGCTGGCGTACTTGATGTAAAGAGCCTGTAGAGCTGGGGGAAGAAGATATCACAGACATGGCTACACATCACAGAAGAACACCAAAGGGCACACACCAACTATTTTGCTTTGCAGTTCACCTTTAGTTAAAGCCTTGCAACAGTTTTGGCAGCTAGGTAAGTTACCAGATGGGCAGAAGGAGACCCAGAGAGATGAGTAATTACCCAGCCAGTTAGTAAGAATCTGGAATAAAACCCAGAGACCCTGTTTCACACTTGTTCTAATGTTACATCGCCTTTTATATCTACCAGCCATGCCAACTTTAAGTCAATACACAATAATTTATGTGTTGTCCTACTTTGTTCTTCACATCCGTTTCTGAAGGTCAACCTCAGAAGAGGTCTGCCCCTTCAATCCAACCTATAATCAACTTAGAGACTTGGCAAAGATGATCCAATCCCGCAAATTTTCAGTGCACTTTTTTAATCCTCCCACAAGGATCAATGCAGTCAGTTCCTTCTGCAAATCTGTAATGCAAGCAACTTTAATCTATTTTAAAAAATATCATTAGGATACCCACCAATGAGCTAAGCAATGCATAATTACTGTGTTAGGCTCTGAAAACAGAGATCCTACAAGGATCCTCACCATCAAAGTATTTCAGATTGTCCTGTTCCTTGTCTGACCTGCAGATATCCAACAAAACTCATTAGAATTTTAATTATCATTAATAATTGTAATCTTCTAAATTATCTGACCTTTTATTAGTGGCCTATATTTTCAGACATCATTAAAGAACACACCTAGTATTACAACTTGCTGATATCTTTTTCTGTTCTTTAGCCTTTGGAAATGGATATAAAAAAAGCCGATATTAATTTAATCTTGCCTGCACTTAAATTATTTCACAGTTTACAAGTAAATAAAATATATATTCTCTGCTATACAAACAAAACCTTCAAGAAAAATCTGCAATAAGGATAGACCACCTTAGCGCTCAGAAGAGACTGCATGGGTAGTTGTGCCTTTGGGTCAGATGTTTAGGACACATTAAACAAGTGCTTTCTCATCCATGATTATTAATCTATCATTATATTGGAAAAGAAAGTTCCTTTAACTTCGTTTCACAAAGTGTTCACTCATACACCACTGAAAGGAACCAGAAGTCTCCGCTAGCACGTACTGAGTACCCTAGATCTCAGCCAGAAGGATATTCAACACAATGGGAAGATCCACCTCACGTTTTTTCCTGGCGGGCCCCCAAAGTTGCTGAGCATCAGATCAGCAAATACAGCTGTAGTGCTGTGATATCAACCATGGAGCCAGATCACTGCAGGAACAGGAGGAAGGAACAGGAGGAGAGAAAAAGGGAGGGTAACAGATATGGACACGGACATTGAATTATTTTTAAATCATTTTGTTCAGCATCTAACTCCCCAAATCCTCACTTCAAGTACTACGTAACAGATTACCAGATAGAGCCCTATTGAAACAAAAGTTATTTATACTTCTAAACTGGTGAATCCAAAGCATCCTTTGCTGCATAGAAGAGAAATATTTTTTCACTTTGACGATTTTAGGTATCAAAACACACTGAAGAACTAATGATCTCTAGTTAGCTCGGTTTAATTTGGACAGACTGATCAGCTCCTTGCTCTGTACTAAATCACGTGCAGTCAGCACACCGCCTGATTCTGCACTGCCTTGCTTGGAAAAGCACCAGAGCATCTACAACTTCTGGGACATGGAGAAAGAGTGACATTCCTCACTAGTTAGCCACAACTTGCTCTTGAACATTCTGCATAAACCAAAATAATCACAAAGCATTTTAACTCGCTTCAGCCAGTAAGAACAAAGTCACCAGAATAAAATAAGCTGAAGTCTTGGCTCATTCCTATTACTCCCCATCACACTGACACAACTTTTTAACATACACACACACTTAGCCCATCATAAGCTACTACAGAAAGACCTGAAGGTACTGCTTTCCTTGCATCCATCATCTATCTCAGGAAAGGTTTTTTAGATTAAAACCTCACAGGGAAAAACAACTTTTTTTTTTCTTCCTCTTAAAAAATACTACATTTTATTGGACTAAGAAGAACGTCTTAAACATGTTCTACATTTGTGTTTGGTGGACTTGTATACATGTATTTGACAAAAAAGAATTAAAAAAATATTTTTAATTTCATAAACCATGCAAAGTGATCATACTCAAACAACCTGAGAGCTATAATATATATATACACACATACAGAATGCTGTATTCTTTGAATTAAGGGAAGGGTGCATGTAAATGTACATTGCTCTCACGACAGAATGCCTACAGCAGCAGTAACAAGAAGATCACAGGTCATTTAAACAAACTCTGTCCCTCTGTGACACTTTCGGATGCTCTCAATATATCCCATCATACCTGTGACCTAAACTCCCACTCCTCTTGCACCTATCTCCACGTATTTACTTACTGCCCCTCCCTCTTTTGCTTAAATAGGAAAGTAGAGGAGAAAAGAAAGCAAGAAATTTCCTTAGGGGAATAGAAGGGGCTTTCAGCAAAACTAGCACCAAGCCAGCTCCCCCAATACCC